TTGGAAGTTGAAACCATTTTTTCTCACTGATAATCTGAACTTCTCCTTTTCAAAGACTGTTTATTTGGGGTAAATTGTTGAAATGCAACAGTAAGTCTATAGGGAAGGCAGGATGACAGCTTGTATACGGGAGGGTTTTTTATCAGCATATAGTTTACTGACTGACAAACGCCTTAGGATTTTCAGTGTACCACATGAATATAAAAAGTTTAGATAATACCTATAAGTATCAAAGGTATTAAACGAAATCTCGACATGTTTAAGAGCCACAAGATCCAAGCAACACTTCAGAAACCATAGTGCATAGAAGATTTTGTGCAACATGGTTATGTCACAGTTAATGCCAACTCTACTCTGAATTCAGAATCTTTTGTACCATTACTATATATTTACTTTTCATGAAGAATGGCCTTAATTTTATATCAGAGGCAGGGAAATCTTTGACCTACTGAAATCAATTACAAAACTCCATCTTCCAGAAGGTTAGCATTTCACCCAAATGAAGGGACATTCCTCGCCTTATTGCCAAATATTCAGTATTTGTAATTGAAAAGGATATTCAACATCATTATAGGAAACACACCCATTGCTGTAGTTCAGGAAAATGGAGTAAGTATATTTTCCTGTATTTAAAGGCATCTCTATATCCCATAAGAAACATCAGACGAAAGTCTGCTGAGACACAAGAAAAAATATACAGCAGAGATCTCTAAAAGTGATTGTCTGAGCAACTCAAAGCTCTAAAGGTTTGTGCTTGCTGAGCATCCTGAAGAAATTACGTTTAAATCTCAGTATTTAAGATCTGGAAACTAAAGTAATCACTTCCATTTACTTGTTTCCATTTCAGTACTTTTCCCACTACAGATCTAATGCATGCCTTTTTGAAGTACAGCTGCTTGGTTTTCCTGCATAAAGAAGAAATTAGGTCTAATAATCGAACTTCTGAATAATTTCTATTCTAGTTGTATGGACCCACTGAGATTTTCATTCAGTGTTGACCATCCTTATAAATGCAGTAAACTGAAATCCCCTCCTTATTAGAAACACAGAGAAGTTAAAATTTCTGATGGGATAGGGAGCATTTTACTTTTTGTTAAAAATAATTGAGAAGGCTATTAATATCCTCGCTGACATTTTTGTAAAAGGAACATGACTGTTAAAACTGGGATGAAGAACTACATAATTTTCAAAGTGAAGCAAGTACGAATGCTGCTAGCATTTGGTAAAAGATGGTATTAATTTTGTGTGTGAACTGTGATAATCCCTGCATATTTCTAAATCCCTGTAAATTGTTTTATAGTGCTTAGGAGTTATGACTCATTCACATTTTTTTATAAGCTTATATTCTTTCATGGGGGATTGTCCTACAAAAGACTTAAGCGGGAAATTGGAGAGATGTCACATATTTGAACTAGGTACATCCAAAAGTAGAATACTTTCCCCTTGGACTAACTGGGAATTTTACCAGTTTTGGATTTGAAGGTTGAAGCTACTATTAAAAGTGCATTAAAAGAAATGATGAACAGTATTTGAATGGGCTTCAGTATTACATTATGTGGTTGAATGGAATCCACAGAATCCTCTCCAGTTAATTGACTCTGGGTGTCTGCAAACAAATATTTTAATGTTCATTTTGTTTTCAAATGATGACAACTATTGATCTAAGCAGCTTGATCAATTTATTAATCTGCATAGCAAATAGAGCTCCAACCCAAAATCTCCAATCTAATGAGAAATACATTTCCATGCAATCATAGTGAGAAAAACAATACCATGGATTGCTTACCAGTGATTTTTGCATTCTTTTTTAAAATTTCATTTTCATTTTTCTTCTGAGGATGCAAATACTCCTACAAGACGTGTGTGTTGAATGCAGGATGGGATCAAAGTGGGCAGTTGGGAAACAAGATGGGGCGAAATGAAAGGTGGTGCTGTGTTGATCCTGTGTGTAGTTTATGACAAACACATCTGGTCCAAGCTCAGGGAATGCAAAATGCCTCCTGACTGCAAATATGCTCTCTCTCTCTATTACTAAGAAATCTCTCTGCTTTTATCTCAACATCTTCTTTAATAACAAATGTGGTAAATTAGAAGCCTGAGATCCTGGTTGCCCTGTTCTTTTAAGAGAAGCCATTTCGAAGTATGTAACTTATCTCCTTAACTAATAACTCCTTAACTAATGTCCTCTGGCATGGTATGTTGCATAGCTGAACATCTGTTCTACAGGTTTATCTGACTTTAAATTACCCCTTTCAAAATGGTGGCAATTGAGTCCAACTAAAAATCCATCTTTGTATGCCTTTAATTGCCTGATTTTAATTATTTTCCTGCAATATGCATTCATGTTGCCTTAACTGCTTTTGCTTTATTTCTGTGAATGGTGGTTCTTTTTCGAGGCCTGTCTCCCAGAGTTATGGAACATATAAGAAATGTGTATTAATTGGTACCCTATGACTTAACTCTTATCAATATTTACAGTTGGTTTCGCTTTTTCCTGTCCCTTATTTTGCTTTAACCTTTCACATTATTCTGTAATTTCTAGTAGTCCACATGGTTTTGCCTTATGAGCAAATGGCACATTTTTTTCCCTTTGCTGCTTAAAACATTTGTTAATGATTTGGCAAGCTGGGAAAGCTTCCACATGAGGAAGTAAGGACTGGTTTCTTCATTTCTGTTTTCCTCACCATAAAATAGATAACACTTCAAGAAAATAAAGTGGTAGTGTTGTATTTTATGAAAAGGATCTAGAACATACTGTAAGTACTAAGCACCCCAATCCAAACATCATCTATCCATTTATTTTTCCTTCCAGCTTGTTAATTTTGAGGTGCCACAAGCCTCAGATAGGTGAGTCGTGAGGTCTCACTTCCAGGGACAGGTGAGAAAGTGCCTGCATTGCAACCTGTTTTCATCACAGTGAATGTTAACAGGAGAGTGGCCCAAAGTTTTTGTCCCCTGGTCTGTTACAGCCACTGGCAGGTCGGGAGTGATGGTGAAAGCAGCTGACACCAGCACCTTCCCTGTCAGCAGGAAGAAGACAATCGTGTTCCTCTTTCTTGTGTTGCATCACAGACCTCAGATGAGAAACTCAGGACCATGCTCTGGGGTTTAGTACCATTAATTTGAGACTGGTTAGTTCAAAGAGCTGAAATAGTGGCACACCAGCTCACCTGGAGAGGATTAGGCAAAGAAATGCTTCTATGAAGGGGGGCAGCTCGCAGCAGAGTGCTGGTGATGAACAGTTAATGGCAAAGTGGTGTTTGTCATGTTTTCTATTAGCACAGCGGGTGCCAGCCAGAATGTTTGTCCTTCGTTCCTCTTCTTACAATGCTCCAAAGCAAACTACAAACAAATATCGAGTAATCAGATTATCTGGCACCTCTAAGTAACATTTCGCTGTTCAGCTCTTCTGTCAAGGTGTAGTAAGAACATCCTCACAGCAGTATCTGCTAAGAAAACTGTTTGGTGGTGTTTCTGCTGCTTTGATATTCATTCCTCTGTGAGACCCAGACTGCACACTCAGTTGAACTGCACTGTATTCACTCACACTGGGAGGCTGCTTTTTGGAAACCAGATTGATGCTAAAAATAAAACAAACTATGCAAAACGAACAAAAAAACCCTCCTTGCTATCGTCCCCATCCATAGTGGGAGTATACTGCTTCAGAAAGCACCGTGTTATTTGCATATGCTTTTTAGTGTCTTTTCCACGAGAAAAAGAATGAAGGGGAGTTTCATAATGTAGTATTTTTGCAGTCATCCATGCAAATCACCCCCAGACAATACTGTGGCACACACAAAGTATAGAACCATGTTTGGAAACTTCTCAGATATGGATCTCACCGTACTAATAAAAGTATCTTGTTATGAGGATGCTGTTTACTATGCATCATGCCTAGAAAATAAAACTGAGGGATTCTACTTCTCTTTATTCGTTTAAAAGGTACTGCCCGTATTTTGATTTTCCTCCTTGATTTTTTAATCGGAAACTTTAACGATAGTCTGACCTTCTAAGAGGGCATGTGTGCACACGTGTGTGCCTCCTTAGCCTTTGGACTCGATTTTCCACGGGTACTGTTAGTACCGAGTGCGGGTAAAAAATAAAGAGATCGGCTTAAAAAATGTATCATACTTTAAAAAGTTAATGCCTTCGGAGTTTGTTTTACCTTTGGGGTTTTGTCCTCGAGCTCTGGTCTCAAAGCTTTTTCGCTGCAGTTAGGATGGGTGGAAACCAAATTAAACACAAAAGCCAGGGGTCTAAGCCATGAGTCTCACAAACTCCCAGCGGCTCACGGGCAGGACCCCGCGCTACTGACGCCCAGGCCGGCGGCAGGGCGGCGGCTCAGCCCCGGTCCCGAGGAGCCGCTCAGCTCCCGCCGCCTCCCTCCCCTGCGCCGCGGGCTCGGCTGGAGCTCCTCGGTGATGCCAGTACGGAGCTGGGGGGCTCCTGCTTAATCCTGACCCTCCAGGCTCTTTCTTCGGTGAATCTCCGACGGGTGGAAGCCTAAATTACGACGACGATGATGACAATAATATTAATAATAATAAATTGGAGCAGTAACCAAGCCCGCTCCAGCAGCCCACGGCCCCGCGTTCTCCCCCGGCCTGACAGTGCGGGGCGGGGCGGGCGGACCCCGGCGGGCCCCGCGAGGCGCCTCTCCCCGCTCCCGCTGCCCCCCGCAGCCCCCGCAAGGCACGGGGCAGCGTTGCTCTCTGCTCGCTCCTCCGCGCCCTGGTAACGGCGGCCCCCGGCGGGCGAGAGGACGTGCGGGGCCGCCCGTCGCGGCTGTTTCCGCGTTGCCCGTCCAGGGAGGTCCCGCCCCCGCCCGCAGCCGCCCCAGCCCCAGCCCCAGCCCCGGCCCCGCGGGGAGGCTCCGGGCCCGGCGGGGGGGGCGCGCCCCCCGCCCGGGGCCTGCGCCGGGGGCGCCGGATAAAGCGGTGCCGGCCCGTCCGCCTGCCGGCACAGGGGCGGCCGGGACGGGCCCAGCGGGGCGCCCCGCCATGGCGAGCCCTGCACGCCCGCGGCAGGAGCTGGCGGCGGAGGAGCGGCGGCTCCGCGGCGCGGCCCCGACGGTGCCCCGCGACGCCAAGCGGGACGCGGCGGGGGAGCGGCTGGTGCTGCTGGAGCTGCGGCGCTGCGGGCGGCCGCCGTCCCCCGGGCCCGGCGAGCGCCAGGAGGAGGGGGAGGAGGAAGAAGAGGAGGGGGAGGCGGCGGCGGGCGAAGACTGTTGCGGCAAGTGCAAGAAGCGGGTGCAGTTCGCCGACTCGCTGGGGCTGAGCCTCGCCAGCGTCAAGCACTTCAGCGACGCCGAGGAGCCGCAGGTGCCGCCCGCCGCGCTGTCCCACCTGCAGAGCCCGCCCGGCGAGGAGCGGGACCCGCCGCCGCCGCCCGGCGGGGACCCCCCGCCGCCCGCCCTGCTCCTGGTGCCCGACTTCCCCGACGGCGGGGAGCCCAGCGCCGAGCGGCTGCGGCGGCAGCGCGTCTGCCTGGAGCGGCTGGGGCGGCCTGCGGCGCCCACCGACGTGCGGGGCACGGTGCAAGTGCTGGGCGGCCCCGGCCTCAAGGAGGTGACGGTGCGCTACACCTTCAACGAGTGGCTCTCCTTCGTGGACGTCCCGGCCGCCCCCCTGCCCCCCGACCCGCCGGCCGAGCGCTACGGCTTCACCCTGTGCGTCCCGCCGAGCCTGCGGGAGGGCTCTGCCCTCCACTTCGCCATCCGCTACCGCAGCGCGCAGGGCGAGTTCTGGGACAACAACGGCGGCCGCAACTACACCCTGCGGTGCTGCGGCTGCCCCGGGGGCGGCCCCGCACCGCCCGCCGCCGCCCCGCCGACCCCCGCCGCCCCCCGATACTGACGCCGGCCGGGCGAGGGGAGCCGAGAGGACCCGGCCGGGCAGGGGGAGGCGGCCGCAGCCCTGCTCCCGGAGTGAGGCCCGTTTCGGGAGGGAGACAGCCAGCGCGCCGAGGCCACCGTCCCGGAGACTGCCCCAAGTCTGGTGGTTTTTAAGCAGGCACTTCGGTTTTGCCAGCGAAACATGGATGTGCGTAGGCTCGCATTGCTGTGGCTTGTGGAATCGTTCTTTTTTCTTTTTTTTTTTTTTTTTTTTTTTTTTTTTTTTTTTTTTTGAGGGAACAAGGAGAATGAGTAGCGTGGGCTTTGCTTTTCCCCTCTTGAAGTGAATTTTTGAGGTCTTGATTTGGGCTTGACTCCACTTACCCGATTAGTCAGAGATGCACAAGAGCGCTCGTGTGAAAACTTGGCGGCGTGTTCACTACAATTTAACTTAGGATCCCAGCTTTCTCGTTCTCACATCCATTTCAAAGACAAAGTACTGCAACACCAATGGTGTGGTTTTTCTTTTTTTTCTTTTCTTTTTTTTTTTAGTTCAATGGACTCTGTAACAATACGATTCACTGTTGTGAGCACCTGTCAAACTCGTGACAGGCTTGCGTGCCCGGCCCACCTTTCCAGGCAGTCTGTTTTGGGGCTGGATCTGGGGCTGGAGAGGGCTGCTCTGGTTTTTGTCATTCGGCACACTTTGATACTGCTCCCCGCTCCCCAGGCTTGCATGTAGATCCTGTCTGGCTAATAGCAGCCAACAGGGACTTCTGCAAAGATGTTTTTGCTTAAAATAGACTGGTGACTTCTTTTCACACAACTGACAAGTCTAAAACCGGGACGAAGGAGGAGTTTAAATATTTGCTGATGCTGCGTTTATCAGGAGAACTTTGGTAACACCTTTGAGTCATGCACTGGGAAGTACAAGATGGTGTCCGTCTCATACACGCTTCTGTATTTTCAGATTTGGGGAGCAGATGCTGATTTGGATGACCTTCTCACTGAGGAGTGACGATGCGATAACAGAGGGTGGCCTCAGTAACGAATGAAAACAAGTGCCTTAGTTCAGCTCTCCTTATGTTACATTTTGCACCACATTTCTCAAGTATTTATAATTTATTCAGCTTATTTTGCTACATATTTTTCTGTATTTGTATGTTGCTGGGAAAGGACTTTGTTGTGCACACAGCTGGACTTTATGGCGCTGGACACTTGAAATGATTTTACAGTCTTCACTGTTGCACTGCAAGCCTAGAGGTTGACTATTGCTGGTGTCCCAAGTCCTGAAATTAAGCGAAAAGTACCAATGCAAATGGGTTTGTAAGAATAAAAAAAGTTTTAAAAAAAGTTAAAAAGCTCACCATTACACATCTTTTTTTTTTTTCCATATAGCAAAATGTAACAGGATACTTCTTGGTTTTGCAACCTGGTTGTGCCCCTGCCCTAATGTGTGTGGTGCCAAGGGGATCACGCTGTTGGTGTGCCCCACTCTGACCAGGGACATTTCCTGTCTGTAAGCAATGTTTAGGGCTGTAGCTGGAAATGAGTGCCACAGCCATGAGGCAAATCGCCCTGGAAGTCTACGACAGCCACTTGTGACAGGCATCTTGTGCAGAGCTGTGATGTGAGGAAGCTTCATGAGCATGGGTGGAAAAGAAGTGGGTTTCAGTTGAGTTTTGTTCTGGCTCCTCTGCAGCTTTGACTCACTTGTTTTCTTTTGATACAGTATCTCAAAATACGGGTTAATTTTTTTAATGAAAGAAAAGACATTGCCAGAATGCAGAAAACGTCCTGACATGGATGTATGTTCTTCAGTAAGACTTTGGAATATTATTTTCCTTTTTTAAAACAGAGATTTCTCAAGTCTTCATTTCCTCTGAAGATGTAAACATCTTAAAAGCCATTATGAGAACATTAGAAAAAATAGCTTGTTTATAAAATTGCCCATACTTGAAAATATTTTCAAGTCTATAGATAACCTGCCTTTTGAGATAGCTGGAACAGACCCAGAGCTAGCAGGGAGTCTATTGTGGGTAAGACTTGAAGCAGAGGGGGCTTCAGACTAAAGGTCCTGCAGTTTTGCTAACATGCGCACTGCTTCTGAAATGGAGCCTGTCCTCCCTCCTCCCTAAAAACCCTGCACATAAACCACAATGTGAGAATACAGCCAGAGACAAGGAGGTGTTTTAATTCCTTCAGAAACCATCCTGTTGTTAGACTGTACCAGTTGCTTTGACAACGCACAGAGGAAAAGCTCTGTGCAGGCAAACAGAAGGTCGTATGATTGTTTTCCAACTTACATGTAAACTCTCGCCAAAACCATGAAAGGTTTTAAGGGAGAATAGCAAACTCTACTACATCCCATACAACTTTGTTTTAAATCTACAATGCGTTACAGGATTACAGGATATTACGTGCGATAATCTGGTATGAATTAGCCTTTCTTCAGATTGTTGAGTCAATGACACAGCGTGCTCTTAAGCTGATGTGTGGGGCTAACAGTGTCAAGTTTGATCCTTCATTTACTTTGGATTCCAGGAGCCCATTCCTTGTTCTGTGCTTTGTTTATTAATTGCTTCGGAGAAGAAGGAAACAACGCCAAAAAAAGGAGGGGAGGGATCTCTCCTTAAACAGAATTTAAAGGAGTAGCCATATGCTAGTGGTTGTATCTGGGCAGAGGTGCAAAGCTGGTACCTTGAAGAATCTTAGCTAGCTGTGCTTATTGATAGAGGGCTAAAAATGTTCTCTGGTACGCTGTAAACTATGGGCAATGGGTGTGAAACATCAACATCCAGAACATGTAACATTGCTGTGTGCTCTTCAGACACGTGATTTGAAATTCGAAATGCAAGAAAGTACTTGATGAGGCTAAACAGTAAAATCTTTTGAGTGCTTCCAAAAATTGGTGCCAATCCAAAGTCCTGCGAATCGTGTTAATTAAAGCACAACATTTTTGTGCTTTGATAACAGGTAAAGTGCTTTTATTTGTTATAAGTAATTACTTTTTGTGAAAGAAAGGGGGGAACCCCTCTCAGAGGAGAATTAAACATACTCCGTTTTAATAGACAGTACATTTTTGTGCTTTTAAGACTTTATAGAAGCTTAGGTTTCCAAAGAAGGTTTCAGAGACAGCCTACACACAGTTGTCTGTATTTTCATAGCTACAGTTACTGAAGGCTATGGAAATGCAAGGCTTTACCAAAGATTACACTGGGCAGCAGTGTAAAAATCCAAACTGGACCATGTGCGTACTGAAGGATTGCAAGCCCGCACCAGCAAAACACAGGGCTGCTGCTCATGGTCATAGGTTGAGATACATGGCATAATTGCAACGTTATTCTCAAAGAAATATATTCAAAATGAAGTAGTTCTAATTCTATAAAATCAGAAGGCCAGTGGAGTAAACTGTTAAGTGAAGCACTCTTCTTGTTTGGTTGCATTACTGTTAATGTATTTTATAAAGATTCGAAGCATAACTTTTGGAGGATGTGTTCATAAACATGGTCCTTCCCCTAACTTTAATAAGAAATGATAAAGATTTATTGCCCTTTTGGAAAAACTCCATCTCCAAAGATTTTTATTTTAAGCATACTTCTGTCCCCTTGCCATGAATTAAGGGCTTAGGGGAGAAATAGCTGCCAAATGGTTTTATAGGTATATATAAACCAAAAAAATTTAATATAGTTGAAACTCTAAAGGGGTAAATGTGAAGGACATCAAAATTAAATCTTCCTTAAGCAATTTTTTTGCCATGTACAATTGCATTTAAATTCAGATTTAAATGATTCAGAAAAGGACTGTGAAGCTAAATTTACTTTGGTGTCATGAAGATCTTGCAAACTTGTGTGAAAACTACTTCTGTTTTATTTAAAGTTGGGGCTTTTAGTCAGTACTTGGAAAGTCTGGCTTCTAGTCCCATTGGCTTCCCTGGGATTTGGATCCAGCCCAAAGTACTGCAGGAAGGTAGGGGAAATGATCTAGGCTTAATTGTCTATTCTGTTCAGAGTCTTGTGTTATGGGGTTAGGATAACATGGCACTGTGATGAATGTTCATCTGTCAAGAGTTCAAAATCTGCTGTCTATGCATGGCAGTAATTAAATCACCTTAATTGTTTTTTCATGATTCTTTTTAAGAGAGGGAAAATTACTTGCCTTGGATTAGCATATTGCCAAAGACTGTTATAAATATTTATGGAGTGTACTCTTTCAATAGAAAGCCTGCACATTCTTCACAGGTCTCCATAGTTTTTTTCTCTGAACACAGAAGAGTAGTTATTTGAATGCACTACTTACCATCATTTCCCCCTCTTGCAAAGGTTCAGCAGATACTGGGTTTAACAGTAAAAAAGGTAAGTAGTTTAGAAAGAAGCATCTCCTGCAAAACGTATTTAATTTCCTCTGTAAGCTGCGGAATCCTTTTGAAGGTGCATATGTTTGTGAAACAGGTTTGCGAGTTCCATGTTTTTTCCTTTTACACTTGTAGAAAAGTGTTCTTCCACAGTTTTGGAAGAATTATTGGCTTCTCTATCTGTTTTTTTTTTTTCCCTGCTTCCACATTAAAGGCTCGTGCACTATTTTTATATTCTAAAATACTGAAAAAAGTAGGAATGTAAACACTCAGTTAAAGAGCTGCACACCTTACTTCTTTTTTTTTATAAAGGTCGTTAAACAAAATATTCCTAAGAGTATGAAATAATTTGCCTGTGTTACAAATGGTGGAACAAAGCGATCAGTATAGTCCTGACTTGAATAATGCTGGGGTTTCACTGTAGATCATTATGGAAAACTCAGGAAAACAGTAGGTGCACAGCTCTTTCATGGCTCTGTTTACGCGTACGTATGGCCTGTGCTGGGTATCTGGAGAGATGCGTTTATGTTGCATTAAAGGAAGTAAGTTGAGGGGCTGGTGCTTCTCCATAAAATTATGCCACCTGCTGATGTTAGAGGGTAAAAGTCATGCTTTTAAGACCTGGAAACTTGGTGAAGTTTTTTATACAGGAATACCATTTGAGAAGAGTGAGTAGTAAATTAAAATCCTTCTTAGGCTGTTTCAGCATTGTATGTAAAGTGTTCACATGCTTCTCTCTTGGGTTGCTCTCCTCCCGGACAGCTGTACCTCTGGTATATCTGGGTATTTTGAAACCGTGCTTTCTATTTGAGTAAAATTTCTTGAGAAGCTGTAACACACAACAGAAATGCCTATCCTTTGAACAGTTGCTAATATTAATCAAATGATTACTTTTTTTCTTTCAGAGTGCCGTTTCCAAGTTTATACTGTAAAAGTAACGACAAACTTGAGTATATGCAAACATTCAAATTTTGGCTTATATTGCTGAGGTCAATAGTTTGCTAAAATGTCAAGATCAGGAAAAGACAAACATTTTTAATATAATACAAAAGCAAACTTGTTTTGCTAAGACACTGCAGCTTTAGTAAAGATATTTATTGAGCTCCCTTCTAGTCTAAGGAAAAAATATATACTTTTTATAATAGTGGACACTGTACATAAGTCATGGGACCATTCCTTTGTGTTTTAACTATTCCTGTTGTTTACACTGCTTTGACAAAATCCAACAAAGCTTCTGACAGCGTGCCAAGAGAGATTTAATGAGTATTGCAACGTAAACGGAACTGGTGAAGCACAGAAGGTGCAGCTGTAAGAGCACAGCAACTCCGAGGCTGGACCACAGTGCCAGCTCTCCAGTTCGCTGTCTCCATCAGTGACAATGAGCACATGCCTAGCCAAGCCTCAGAACAGGGCAAATGGACACAAACATAACACTAAAGTCATCCCAGCCTACAACAATTATTTCTGTGCTGGACTTCTTAAGCCAGATGTGGTTAGCAAATATTTTCCATCCAGTTTGTAGGATTTCAGTGATAAAGCATTTGGCAAGCTATCTTTTTATACAGAACTGGGCATGTTATGATAAAATTCCTTAAAACAGACATCAGGCAAGCAAAAAATAATATTTATAGGTATCTTCCAATTATGTACAACTGGTATGCACATAACTAACACTAGTTGAGCATGCACTTAAATGTGTGTTACAAGGAAAGGAAACACACAGGTCTGTCCAAAACAGGGAACAATCATCTAAAATGCCACGACTGTTGGGTTTGAGTAGTAAATGCCAATACCTTTGCTAGCTTTGCACTTCTGTTAACAAGTTAGATAGTGTTATGCAGACTTTTGGACTGTAGCAGCAGAAGCATTCTTGTGTTGCTTCTAATAAGTAATGCATAAATAATGTATGATAAGCTGGTTATTAATTTCGAATAAGAACTAATTTTTCCTTGTCTGAGAAAGTGAGCTGTCTTAACCTCTGCAGTACTGACTGGGGAAGGAGGGAAATTAGAGAGCCTGATTAATGGAGAAGCAATCTCCTTCATACTTCTGAGGGAAAGAATAAGACATTTCATATTCCCATGGCTGCATGCCTATATGAGAGCATGTACCATCTACAGCTGTATTCTTGATAAAGAACTTCACTGGAAAGGTACTGGTATTTTGGAAGAACTGATTATGTATTGAAAAGGCCTCTATTTAAAACCAAATGCTTACTTTTTTGTAAACATGGTGAAAACCTAGATTATGTTATCAATGGAGTTGTACCTCTTTATAAGTTAGGGCTACACTATTTATAAAGATGTTTATTTTGCTTCCTAGCATACATTCTCATATCTTGAAATGGTATGCAGTGCTTGTTCCAGTAATTAAGCTGTTTTAAGCAAGGATTTTGCATGTACTGTTTTAGGGACCAAATTTCTTACAGTATAAAACTGGCAGTCTTTCCAAGCCTGTATCATCTAAGACTATAAGATGTTACTACATTTCTGTGAGCTCAGTGGAAACTTAAATAGCAATAAAACCTTTCTTCCCCTGCACTTTCACCATTAAGTGCACTTAATTATCCACTTGCAAATACAGAGATTTAAAATGCAGAATATAATGCATTTTACCTATTAGAATTAATTCAATTTGAGTAAAATGTTCATTAAAAGTAATTTACATTGCAATACTTATATATCTAATAAGAGGAGAATTGTTAATGTATTTGCCTCTTATCTGAAAGTGTGAATGGAGGCTACATTTATAGTCTTAGGTACACATAATATTTTATTCTGTACACTGCATTGTCCATGAAATGCATCAGTATACATTTCAATCTAACTGTACAAAATTGTAAAATACACAATTTTTCCCATTCCAGTGAGGAATGGGAGTTTGTTCTAAATTATACACTACAATTAGATACTTTGCTTTAATAATGTTAACACAGAACGTGAAGAACACAAAAAAAAAAAGTAAGTTCTAAACAAAGATGAATTTTGTAAAGCAAGAAAAATAAGAGGGGGGGGGTTTAAAGGCCACGGTGTCATGGAACTAGTTTTGAGTTTCTGTTAGTTAAAAAACCCACAACAATCCACTGAAATAGAAGGAAACTTTTTTCTGCATGCCGTTAAAATAGCTTTGCAGTGCTTAATTTTTCTGCACATTTCTCATAGAAAACAAACTTAAGCACATCAATGACTTGAGCAGAACCTGATCAGAAATTTTGCTTGCTTTTGTTTTAATGTACGGTCTTAAAAGTGTTGGGTATTCTACAGATTTAATAATAAACAATAAAATGCGATACTGAGTGTTCTACTGAGTACTTTTGCTAGGCAAAGCTTGTTGCCAATTCATGACTTACAGCACTTGAGTTACTGTTACAGTTAGGTTATTTTCCTTCTGCAAAATTCAGGAGCTTTGAGAAAAAGGGCACCTCAGATTAAGTGATGTGGTGCTTTCTGCTAATAGCTGCACCTCAACAAGTTAAAGGACTCTGTGGTGAAAATACATTTTAAAGCTTCCAAGCCTCAGTAATGCAAGCCATACATTCTGCTAGTCTGATCTGTTAACTGTTAAAAGTAGGACAAGACTAGTTACTAATTCTTGGAAACTAAAGAAAGAACTAGTGAAATTTTTATGTCACCTCCTGAAATGTCAAGGGATCCTCTTCAAAGAAACCACAGAATTCAGCCTGTGATATTTGTAAGTATCAAGGTCCAGGAGACAAAAATTCTGTTCATCTCTGGTTTTAATATTTAAAATAAAATATGTACTTAGTAATTTAATTCAGATGCTATATACTTTGAAATGCAACTAGATCAATAAGAACTTAGTAACTAGGTGAGGGATTTTAAATCTTGAGGGGTTTTAAATCTAACAGATTTTTCATGGTCATTGAGAGACGAGGTCAGCAGCAGAATAACGTATCTGGTTACAGGTAGTTTAATGAAGTTTTATTGTCAAAGTAGGGCAGGAACTATTCCATCACATGGAACATACAAGCAAACACATTTCAAGACTATCTTACATGCTATTTTAAATCACAGCCATATATCTTAGAACGTGTGAACCACTAGAAAATAGTACTTTGGTTGCCAAAAACTGAGTCTCTCAGGCATTTCTTCTGCCGAACAGAAAAGCTCAGATGTGTGCAGTGAATTTATGCTTCTGTATGTGGCACTGTAGGATGCTGAAGATGGTCCAGTGTTGCTTCAGGATCATAGGCTTCTCATAGCTATGTGTTTCCTGGACTCTCAATAACCAATTTCTGCGTGGAGTACAGTTGGCCAATAGTAACCTGAAATCAAACCAAAATATCAGAAAGCCGAAACTGGAAAGTAACCAGGTTATAATTTAGGCTTCACAAGAGAGATTAAAAAAAACCCTAGGAACTGAGTAGCCCATATATTAAGCTTTTTCATAATTACATTTTAATTTCTACTAACATTTCTTTTTGTAAATAATACTGTTGTCTAGACCTTAAGAAAAATAACCTATACATAAAATACCTGCATATATAAAATCTTGAACTAATGACATTGAGGAATACTGTTCAAAGTCTTATATTAAAAATTAACATTAGAAGTTATTACAGAGGAAAAGCCAGCAGGTTCTGTGTTCAGAAAAATGAAAAGAAGAATATAACGAAAAATCAAAATATGGATATAGTCAGCAGATATTTTTTATGCTTTTTGGGTGGAGAGCCTAGATATAAATTGTGTGGCGTGGTATTATTTTTCAGTTCCTTTGGAACCCTAATTTAATTTGCCTTAGAAATGGTGAAAACAGTTAAACAGTTGTTAGTTCAGCAGTAGCGTTTTACACACACTGGAACTACCTCTTGTTCATGAGATGGTATTCAGACCTTCTGTATTTGTGCTTTCTAGTGCAACAAGGAAATGAAAAATGACAAAACCGCAGCATTGATGCTTTGATTCCTCTCGTTCTTTAGTACTTTTGAGTCTGCCTCATAACATTAGTAAATTGTAGTCGGGTGTGCAGTTAGCAGTTGTCACACACAGCTCTTCGCTTAGCAGCTGAGATGTGGAAGGAAGATGTTTCATGCATGTAGGGTAATGAAAGCAGGAGAAGGCAACATTTATTTTTAAAAATATGAATTCTGGAGTCTAATTTTTAATATCTATTATGCTCTTTCTTGCCCCTGCTTTCTTCCTAAGGCCTGGGTACACAGTAGCTCTGTGTCCTTTTCACAAAAAAATTCATATATTTAATTATGGGATTAGGACAAAAAAAGCTAGATGCTTAATTACACTAAGCACAATATATTTAGTAGAATTTAATACTATTCAAATTAAGTCGGACAGCAAGTCAGGCTCTCAAAGTAGTAAAAAATTAGGGAAGGAATTTTTTTGGCAGTTTCCATTTACCATTTTTGTGGGGAAAAAATCCTGGCTACTCTTAAATAGCAATTTCTCATCTATGCCCACACTCATATAGAATGTGAATAATATTGCCTTTTAGGAAATGAACTATTTCATCTTGATAAACAGCCTTGTCTGAAACTTGTAACGCATTGATTTTAGTCTTGAAATATTTATTACAAGGGAGCATTTATGAGCTGCTCCAAAGGAACAGAAGTTTTCCTTGCCAAAAAATATTCCCTTCTTTTGGCACTCTAAGTTACTAACAGCATATGAACAATTCTGATTATTTTTGAAATTACTTATGAAGTATGTTGCATATGGAATATTTAAAACAAAGGCCATACGCAACTGTGGCATGTGTTACCAACACAAATTTTAAGCTGTCAACAAGTGTTACTTGTCAAAGAGAACTCACTGCTCTGGGTTATGTGTCACGCTATACACTTTAGTTGCTGCCTTACCACAAACCATGCTGTAGTACTTAATTTTTGTATACTGTGTTTTGGAGCCCAAAGAATCTTTAATCCTTTCCCACACAGTAGAGCAAATTTAATGGGAGGCTCAGAGGGATTACAAAAATGCTGAAACCTGAATTGCATTTTTTTTTCTCCCCCAACTGGGGAGATAGATGAGACTGAGTACGTGACTTCTCAGTCAATCATATTCAGCTGGGGCAGACGGCTTTGTAGAAGAAAGGTATGAGCTGCTGTTTGCTGACCCTGTGCCAACAGGTGACATTATCTACTGCTGCACCTCTTGACTCAAACACAATAAAAACACAGATTTATGTGTGAGCTGCTTCCTTAGTAAACCACAGGCGTGCAGGCATTTCAGAGAGTGCAGAGCCACCAGTGCTGTGCTGTCAGCCTTTGCTGGGCTGCTGCAGCTTGCCTGCTCTGGTGCCTCCCTTCCAGAAGCTATGCCATGGCATTTTAAGCTGAACTTTGAAACGTAAGGATTTTTTTTTTAAGCCATTAGCCTTGAATTTCTAACGTTATGATCAAGCCTTTCCCATGTGGTTTAGACAAAACAAACAGACCTTCCATTTATAGCTGCTGAAAAATTCGCATCTATAAACATCCACTGCCTCAGCAGAAGGACTGCACCGGTATCTACACAGACACTCATTAACCCTCAAAACCAAAACAGCCTTCTTACAGTGTCCTCACAGACGCCAAGTCGAAAGAAAGCTCTTCAGCAGGAACGTCCATGTGGATCGTTCTCCCAGATTAGAGACTTAAGTGGCTACCTATTGTGTTCTTTTCTCATCATGCATGTTTGTAGCTTGTACACCACATGCCATTTACTCTTCTGGTAGGTGGCTGGAAGCCAGTGCATAGGTCAGTGTCAGGGTATTTTCATTAATCACAGGAAGCTCTTGGGGAAAAAGGCTCCACCATTTGTTCAGCAACTTTGTTACCCAAAATTTTGTTTACCTCTTTTAAGTAACACATAGCAATTGTATTCTGCAGGAAAGAATGTGCAATAAAGAACCACTTTGCCATCAGGAGAAGACAATAAATAGAAATATAAAAGTTGCTTTTCAGCTCTTTCCAAGTTATATGATGTTTAAATTTGCCTGCAAAACTATGTGCTTTTTAATCTTACAAGTCCAACCCTAAAACCTGACAATTTGTCCTTATTCAAAGATTTAGTACAAGTCTACATGGTATCAGCTGTTTCTTGTGAACTGAAAAACTTACTATTGCCTTCTGCCTGAATCTGGGATAAGGCTTAGGGCTTCAGAATGGAATTTATCAGCAAATGTGATACTACAAATGATGAAAAAGAAATGACTGAATAGTTACTGACCCATCCTGTAACCAACCATTCCCTGGTTATTAGGTGTTTGTGTGTTCATATGGAAAGAGTGCTTTTACTTTGTTGCAAGAAAGCAGCAATCACAGGAATAAGTCACTTCATGGAATCTTTCTTTGCTATTGGGGAAAAAAGCAAGTAGGAGAGGATTTCTCCGAGATAACAAAGTATCAGTGGAGTAGATCTTGCAGACCTATTGGCACTACTTGCAAAATATTACTGGAAGATCTTCTTCAACTTTTGAAGGTATGTGGCATGTTTTGGGTTTTTTATCCATACAGACATTTTACTTTGCAGCTCTGAGCTGAGGTAGAAGTGACTGCTTCTATTTTTGCCGGGCAAAAAGTAAGTTGAACAGGTTTTAAAAAAATTATTCTAATTTGCCTCACTCATTTTAGAGTGCATAGTTCTGCTCTGAAAAGTATGATGGCATCTTTCCTTGACAGCTCTGTATAAATTCCAAATGGATGTCTACTTCAATAATCACCACATTTTCCCCTCCTTAGTTGTGTTGGTTCTTCAGTATAAAGGTGTCCAGGCATCTCTTTTTCCCTGTACTTTACAGAATTGTAATTACATGGTATATAGCCTGCGATCTCTAACAAATCCTGCTGAGCCCTGATGAAGATACTTTTTCTCATTGCCACTGAACACTCATCCTTATCTTCCTGCCAAACCTGACAATCTCTGAACTACTAGCTACCTGCTTGGGTGAGGACTCACTGACAAATTTCAGTGTGAATGCCCTAAAATTACTCAGGTAAGTAGCCAGGCAGCAGACCTGAGGAAAGGCAATGCCCCAAAGGCAAAGTACAGCCAAAGTGTACACCCACGTGGGTGCAGCAGAATAAGAATGTCCACAGCTTCAGCAAACAAATGCAAAGTCAAAATTCCAAGAAATCTGGCTTGTAATAGCTCTTAGCAGGATGGACATGTGAGAAGGAAAGACAACAATATAGGTCTCAGCCTCTGAAAGAATCTTAGCACCTTGCACGGGGGGTGACATATCTTGATTGAGTCTCCAGCACACAGAAACATCATCTTTCTAACTGCAAACAGGGTATGTTCTTATGTAAATCAATGCAATATGGCTACAGACCCTTGTAACAGTACTCTTACCATCGCTTTCTAAGCTATGTTGATACAACAGTCGTACAGAAGAGTTTCCCTCCTCTGTCCCTTCTATGTCTCATCCCATTTGTAACGCAAGTAACAAAATTAGCAAACCGTCTTTGTTTATTTAATAACTTTCCCCTCATTAAAATATAGTTGCTGATGTAATCTCTAGGGAACAGTTTTCTGCCCTCAAAAGCAAACCAAGCCCTGTTTTTTTTTCACGCTACTGTTTATTTTTCGATGGCAGACGAAAGTAGGAGCAGGCTAACAGGAGAGGGTGCAACACTCTCACCCTATGCGGAATCAACTTAGACAAGGCCTAAACACAAAAAAGTGCCACCACAGCATAACAGTGTGAAAACACTGTAATACAACAATTCCTTTAGCTCTCAGTTATTTAAAAATTGATCTCATGAGAGGGTCATCACTGGAGAAGTAATAATGCTTTCCTGTTTTTCTTAAAGAAATAAAACTGATGCACTACAGATAGTTTTACATATTAAGCATGTTTACGTATCTAATATATATGTATATAGATTGTTATATGCACAAGCATAAATATATAAAAATATATTAAAAAAACCACAATCTCTAGATAGTAAACATAGCCATCCCCTCTCTTTTGTTACAAATGTGCAGGCAAGAAATGGTTACCTTACAGCAGCCAGGGATCACATATTTTCATAGTTCTTTATTATGGAGAAAAAGGAAAATGTCCTGTTCATTAATATATTTGTACCACACACACACACAAATAGACTAAATCAGATTGTTTTTTCCTGTTGCACCTGAAAAGTTAACAGGTGTATCTCACAGGCACACTGCTGAATCTTAACTAGGAAGAAAACTCCCTGATGACACTGCAGTCATATCACATATACTGCTGCCAATCTGGGCCTCTAACACTACATGAAGAAGTTGCCCATTCACACTTTCTTGCACTATGACTATAAAATGCATCTTAAGTGAATGCTGACAA